ACGTCTGTTATCTATCTCAGTGAGTGATCGGTCGTTCAATATCTGGAGTAGTGGTTTATGGTCAGTAGCGACAATGAGATCTTCGCATCCGAGCACATAGTATCTTGTCTGGTGGAGAGCGTACACAACAGCCAAGGCTTCGCCTTCGATTGGAGCGTATCTACTTTCTGCTGGGTGGGTGAATCTACTGCCGACCAAACAAAGCTTCCATCCATCATTACAGCATGCTGGGGTCTTACTGGCACAGCTGCAATACTTCTGCATCATGAAGAAGCCAATACCATCAATGGACCAGTCTGTGGCTAGACAGGTCATGCGTGCTGGGTCAAACAGACGAACACCTTCCTTCATCTCCTGGATAATGACCTCTTTGGACTTTGTAAATAGTTCATCTAGCTCATCCGTCCAATGGAACGGTGTAGATGGTTTCAATAGAGCTCGGAACGGTTTCATCTGTTTAGTCATGGCAAACGCGTAGGCACCTTGGTTGACCAATCCAAACCATGCTCTTGCACCGGTAATGTCGGATGGTGTTGGAAAGTTGCTGATTGCATCTAGGAACTTCGTGCTTGGTCGTATATTTGTAGGAGTAATTGTGAGTCCAGCAAAATCTACAATATCTTGAGCAAACTGGAACTTCTTCGGGTTGAGGGTAATACCATTCCGAGCACAGAGGTCTAACCATTCGCACGTCTGGAAGAATGCTGCTTTAACAGAATCTGCCCACATACAAGTGTCATCCACGCATTTGACCTTGTTCTTGAAGTCCGTAATGACAGCATCAAATCGTTGGTTGTAAGCATCTCCACTGGCCATAAATCCCTGTGGAGCTACCTTGTATCTGTACCGTCCCCATGGTGTGATAAAAGTGGTAGAGTGACGGTCCTCCTCTCGAATAGGTACAGAGTGGTATCCATTCCAAGCGTCAGTAACAGTCTTCTTCATACCTTGAGGTACCCTGTCTGCTAGATGAAACGGACTCGGTACATGATGGGTCTGGCGTACGGAGTGACGGTTTTGTGGTTGAAGATCTACCGTCCTTCTGGGCGTACCATCAGCTTTACCTGTAACTACCATCCTGGAACACCAAGTTGTAGGGGTATTCTGGCTAACTTTCTCCAAGACTCCAATCCTTACGTCTCTCTCCAGGTCAGCATAGACTTTATCCAGCCAATGGATGGGTACCAGTGCTGGATTGTGAACAGCAAATGGTCTGGCATCAGGATCTATGTGAAGCTTAAGGGTCTCACAGTTCATCAGCGGTAAAGGTTGATGTTCACATACATTAAAAGTTGTAGCACCATAGTAATCAAGTAGCCATTCCTTTAATGCATCCACATTTTTTTCAGTAGCGTCCAAGCCTGGTGGTAGTGTTGTTGGTAGTGGAGGTGGATTAGGCTGACGTTTGGGACAGGAGCAGGTAGTCTCATCTTCTACAGAAGCAAAACTCTCTGATGTGTCTGTGGGATGGTTTGGGAAGTCTGCATGAATTATTCCAAGAGAAACCAGTGCCTCCCTGCAGATGAAAGCTTTTTCCATGACATCAGATACATAACATAATATGCGTGTAGATTTGGAACCATCTCTGACCTTCACATCAACTGCAACTGCTCCAATAACCCCAAGGTTTTCTTTGATGGCACCTCGCATAACGAGCTTTACTGAAATTAGGTCCTTTCTGGTAATTCCCAGGTTGTTGGCTGTCTGTAATGGGATAATCGTACTCTGGCATCCGGTGTCAGCTACCATGGTCAGTTGTATCGTTTTGAGCCTTGTAACATCTTTGATGGGATGTCCAAATGACGCATGGTCCTCGGCCAAAGTGTCATATTAACCAGTAGCATCGGATGAGGTTTGGACGGCCTAGCTATCCATTTTCCTTCGAAGATGTGATGTTCAAGACGTGCTGTATTCTGATATTGTTCTGATGTGGTACATAGCTGGTCGTAGACATAACCAAACTTGTCGTCAGCATCTTTCGTCGGTTCCTGTGATGGTCCCTGATTGCGGAGTTTCTGTCCTCGTCCCTGTGTACAAGCCCTTGACGATGAATCACGATGTCCCCAGGCACCACACGTTGAACACTTGCTGCATGACTTGGTATAATGACCCTTAACTTTACACTTGGCACATGTAGATGTCCAGGCCTCGCAACTTCTTTGTCTGGCTCGACGATCGTTTCTTTGTCCGTGGGCAGGGCCACCACATGCCCAGCACTTGCCTCCAGGTCCTTGTACTGATTTTTGGCTATGGGTCGTAGTCGACATTGCACCGGCTGAGTCTCCAACTGCACTCCGTGTAACTTTGCCTTGTTCCTTCTGTGCTATGAAGGAAACAGTCTCTTCCAAGGTTCTGTCTGTCTTAGGCTCACCAAGCAGGACAGACAAAATTTCAGGGTCTGCAATTCCTCTAACCAGATTGTCCTTTATGATCTCATCACTGTAGTCATAAATGTGGTTACATCCTTCCTCCTTGCATGTGGCCTTGTACTGACAGAGTGACGCCTGACCTCGGAGACTGGCTAAAAACGTTCTGATGCTGGTACCAGGTGCTTGTGTCATCTTACTGAGCTTAATGCGTTGTACCAATGTGCTCTCATCCTTTACAGCAAGCCGTTTAATGACATTCATCAGGTCTGCCTCTGGCATGTCTGTGATGTTACCTCGTTGGTCACGCATGATGTCGGTCCGAAGGTCTGAGTCACAGCAGTAGAACAGAGCAGTGGGTATGACGTTTTGCGCTATGGCCATGCCCACTTTGTACATCTCCCATTGTCGAGTGAACGCTGACCACTGGTCTGGATCACATCCAGCAGCTATGGTGGGTGGGTCCAACTTCAATTTGGGAGCTGCGGCAGCTGCTGACTGGGCCTGTGGCTGGTGAACAGTTCTATCATGGATCTGGAGGGCTGCCGTCATCGCTGCGGCAAAGGATTCATCCAGGTCCTGGGACTGCCAATCACATCCTTCCTACAGGGCACTCTAACGTCGGCATGTTGAGGATTATAGATCGTCTTTTGTACCAAAATTGTCAATAATTGATTTATTTCTGTTAATTTCTTGTTCTGGAGGCCTGTTTTTTGTCAAATTGTGTAGAACTGGTATCAGTCATAAATGATAACCATCATCCATTGAGTAACTCTTTAACTAACTAAGGATGACTGATACCTGAAACATAGAGAAATAATATTACATTACATAAATGATTAGTTAAAAATCAATCCGTTTTATAAAACAAACAATGTGACGTAATTCACGTACCAGATTGTAAGTGTCAATCTGGGGAAAAAAACATTAAAAGTAAGGAGAATTTTCTTATTTAAGTGTGTTCTATGTAGTTTCTTTAAACAAATTATCTCTTTTTTGGCCTTTACCTACCACCAAAATTTCTTTTGTGGCTCAGCATTAATCATTTTAGTCATTATCTAAGGTTAAAACTGTAATTATGTTATGTGTGAATTACGTTACACTGTTCTGGATTACGTTACACTATTATACAGACCTTGCCTGGTGTAAACACCGAGCGAATGTTTTATAAATGTATTTATATAGAGAATAATACATACCCTTTTCCATATCACATCCTGTATCAGCCCGAGACACCAATATCAGCCAGAGGGCCGACGGCCTTGTGTAGCGATCCATGTGAGCGGATCAAAGGATCTGATTTTAATCAGATTGCCTTGTCAGCAAATACAATTTAGCATTAAGTCAAATGCTGACTGATGTTTTTCATACCAATTGTTAGTCCATTATTTATACTCTGAATTGACGACGGATTTTTTTCCGTTATTTCCTGATCATGACAAGGAGCACACGGCGGGTGTGACCGGTCGGCAGGGGATGCTCACTCCTCCATGGCACCTGATCCCACCTCTGATGTTTCGGGGATCCGTGTTTGCTCTGTTGTTATTTTGTATTGTTTTATGGCCTTTGAAACTGAACACTGTTCGTTATCTCCATATCCTTCTTAAGAAGTGTTTTGGGGCGACTTGTCTTGGGGCGAGTTGTCCTGATAAAATGTTACTAGCACTACAAGTATTTTAAAAAGATGCATAGCCGTCGGAAGCAAATTGAAAAGGGGGGGGGGGTAGAACATACAAAAAAAAAAGCAAAAAACAATGCAACGAATCAAAGTAGGAATGATCGATAATTGATAAATCTAAATTTGGAATTGCAGGCTACAGCAAGAAACTTAATTCTTATTTTCATTAAGAGGTGTTCAGTACAATTCTCTGTCATCCTTGGACTTTCAGTGGGACGTAGCATTTTCGATGCAACATGAATAGCGTCTCTGAAGTTCTCAAAAAAAATTTTAAAATTTAGAAAAATTAAGCAATATCAGCAACTTTAAATTGTTGTTAACAATTAACGATGAGATGACTAAAGCCCCTCTTTGCTGTATATGAAATAGGCCTACTGTCATTTATTAAATCATTGCTACGTGCACTCGCCCGAATATCTATCCCATGTACATATCAACAGTGGATGAAAGACTGGTCGGGATATGCCACGCCTTACCATGCTTACTGAAAGTCCAAGGAAAACGGAGAACTGTACTAAATAAATTCTGCTTCATATAAGCCTAGGTCTGCTAATACTGGGCCGCAGTTGGTACCTACATAAGATGAGACATCCGACAGATTGTTCGAAGTGTTGATTGCAAAAACTACTCATTATCAACAGGATCTTTTTAATCTCAACTTTGGAGTATTTGAATACAATCAGAATTTTAATTTTGCAAAAGACTCATATAGCAATTAAGGTTAGTATATTTGCAAGATCCATTTTCATTGGGAAAAAAATAGCTGACTGTGATCCTGAAACTCCATTGCTTTCATTTCAATTTTTGTATACGAAGTACTGCAAAGTTGCATGCTTTGATTATTTTTTTTTCATTTGTGTAAAATGAATATTGCAATCCATGCACCTCTTGATTTTTCCGGAATAGGGTTAGATTTTTTTCTTTAGTTTTCCCCTTTTGATTTCCGGTTGACACTGACAGCTGTTTTCTTTTTCATACACTACAGTACACGTTCAGGCTGATGCAGTGCAGTTTTCTTTGTGTAGAAGCGTGTTCCCAGGTAATTGATATTTACAGGACAGTTAGCAAATATTTAAAACACCATCCATCGTTTTTATTAATGACTTGCAAGTAGAACACCGTGTGATGAAATCCCCACTGTTCCCCTCGTGCTCTTTCAGTTTTTGTCATTTTTTTTTTAAATCAGAAAAATTCTCCCGATATTAAAAAAGAAATATTTCCTAATAATCTTAGAGAACTTGAGATTTCAAATAAAGTGTTTTTTCTTCCCAATACGTTATTGTTTTCTTTTTTAGTGAAAAAACTGGCCTGCAGACTATGGAAGAATCAGAGATCATAAGACTCAATGTTGGTGGACATATTTACACTACCACAAGGTCTACCCTTGTCAGGTATCCAGACTCAATGCTGGGAGCGATGTTTAAAGGTGATATCCCATCCAAAGTGGATCAGGATGGAAACTTCTTCATTGACCGCGATGGACAAATGTTCAGATATATCCTGAATTTTTGTAGGTCTGGAAAACTTTGCTTGCCACAACACTTTTCTGATTATGATTTACTGGAAAATGAGGCAGATTTTTACCAAATTGAACCCTTGATAACCAGCATCACATCTTCACGACAACATGCAATGAAAGAAAACTTTGAAGTTCATTACATAGAAATCGTGGAAGTGAGAACAGGTACAACTGCAACCATGCCATCGAAAAATTCTCGTGTCAAAACTATTCTGCTTGGAAGGAAAGAAGATCTGCTTTCACTGCCCTCAACTCTTGTTGGTGAAGAGGCAGCAGAAAGATTGGAATGTAAAAATGGATCAAATTATGTGGAACTAGAAATTTTTGGAAGTAATGTGAGAATTCAGCTAGCAGACTTTCTGAGTAATAGTGGATGGGTTAATGAAAACTCAGACTTATCATCTTCATCCAGTTTAACAAAAGGACAGGATACAAGTATACTCTGCATAGAACAGAGTTTTAGGGATCGCTGGAAAATATATAAACAGAAATAAGAAAAATGACTCATAGTCCTACAATGGTCTTTCAAATATTTCTTTAAAAAATAAATAGAAGAAGCATGATTATCAGTATTTATTCACAAACTGTTTAACATCAATTTATATATGCCATCACGTTTTTAGCATAGAAATGTGTTCATTGAAAATATCTTTCTTTTTGTATTTTTTCATAAATACATGTACATGCAAAGTTCATTATATTATGATAATAATGGATTTTTATTATAGATAAAAATATTATAATTTTCTGAAAAATGAATATTCGTTAGTTATTTCTGAACTTTTATCTACACTATTCAGTATAATTGTGAACTTTTATTTACACGATTAAATATGATTATGAGTACATGTCTCACATTCCTACAGTAAAATACATGTACTATGATCATTTTTTTTATCCCTTTAATAAAACATGTAAAACAGATATTTTCCCAATTGATATTTTCAGCCTAAGTGACTAATTAATTAAAAAATATAGGTCACAGATCTGGAATTCTAGCAAATATCAGATAGTCCAACTATTTATCCTGCAATCAAAATAAGGAAAAGATGCCGGGGTGGATATACAAAACCTGAAAACACAAACCCCCTTAAGAATCTGAGTTTTCAAATTTTTATGCAAAAATATGAAGGTAAAAATGTCCTTAGACACAATACTCGATCCCCATTCCAAGAAAACATGAAATCACTGGTAGAATGGTTGGAAAAAATTATTGATATGTACAAATTAAGAAAGCAACTTGTGTTTAAGGAGATGGATCAAATGTTGATGCTCGTCTCTCTTGGTGTTGGCCTGTCGATCATAATAATCACCATGGGACTAAGTGAATCACTTTCACCTCCAGTAAATACACAAATGTTTTAAACATTATTTTATTAATTTTTTACCTTTTGAGTTATTATCATCTTATGTTTTCACTCTTGAGGATGTATATACTTGTACACGTACCTATATGTATATACTAATATTAATTTTTTTTAATACAAATGTTAATGAATTAGTAAGTACTAAAGCCCAATGAGCTCATTTTCGTAGGTAAAAAAAAAAAAAAAATAAATTCGCGTTATAACGCGAAGCCTTTACTGTTTAACTAAACATTTGCTTTAGTCTCAACTTTCTTTTGATTTCGCGAAAATTTTATTTTTTTTTAGTATATACATATAAAACTTGCACAAACTTTGAATTGTTTGAACAGCATTGAGAAAGACAAATTGTGACTGTAAAGATGGATTCAATAGCAAGAAAGCTTACAATTTATCTTAAATAGTCCAAGATCAAAATAGCCTTTTGTTTATCATTGTAATGAATAAATTTGATATCGATATTCCAAAAGTTAATCTTAAATCAAGATTATTAATTTCGGGGAAAATCACCCCTTCCCGGTGTCTTTTTATGCACTCTCTAGAGAATTTGAAATAATTTTATTTTATAGAGATCAAGATCAAGATCTCAAAATGAGGTAGATTTGTCAATTGTGTCCCACCGCATTTGTGAAAATTGGATAGCAGATTTTCATTTGTCTCCGCTGGATTCACTGTGGAAATACGATATCCTATTTTGAGGTTGCACCACGTTGTCATTCCATATTGCTTACGAAAACATTGACGATTCAAAGTGTACAAACTCTGCTAAATACTTCATTTACTTTTACGTTATGTTTCTACAGTGTATAATTTTTTGTCCAAAATGATTGATTGCTTAATTTACTAGTGGTGCAGTTGTAGTAAATGTTACCGATTAAAAAAAAGCTTGAAAAAAGTGTCAAGCGGAGATTTTCCTTAAAATAGTGTAAAGAATTAAGTTAAATTTTAACAATTGAAAAACATGTACAAGAAAGTAAAACTTAATTCAATGGTAAGGTTTTTAAAAAAAATATTCTGATGACTAATCTATCCTATTCTCGCATCATTTCTCCAGTACATCTTCTGAGGAAAGGATATTTTAAAAATAAGTTCCTGAGTGTCAGTTAAGACCAATGTTCCTGAGTAATATTACTATATGCACATTATTTCGCATTATAATGCGAAAGTTACGTGTTTATTCGCGAAAGTTTCGCGTTATAACGCGAAAACATTATTTTTTTACCTACGAAAATAAGCTCATTGGGCTTTCGTAAGTAAGAGATTAGAAATTTAAAGAAAAATAATTTTTAAATTTAATATAGTTGTAAAATTCAAAAAAAAAAATTAAAGTGGGGGGATGTCATGGTCCTTCCCATAACTGGCTCAGATACATGTACCTGTAGACAATTTAATGGACATTACAACTAATAATTGAAATAAGGACCCATTAACATAATATTTCTTTAGTTTTTCGATAATGTATTCATTACTTCATGAAACACTCCTCGGGATCGAGATTCAAAAAATTCCTACAAGGTTTTTCATCGCTTGCTCCAAACTTCGTACTTTTTGCAGATGATATGAGAAGAAAACGTAGGTTAAGTGACGAAGACCTCGAAACAAAGTATGCAATATTATTCATTGTAATCGAATATGCATCTCTGCATAAGCATATATAATTGTATCATTTCCAGTCCTAACGTTTTCCAGTCGCTTTTCTCGATCTTTATTCAGGTCTTGTACAATCAATAGATTTAGTTACGACTACGTAGCTTAAATTATACAAACAGTGCTATATTTACTTACCTGAATTGCTTCATATTAGCATCAAAATGATAATTAAACTTCATTTTAGCAGCAATTTTCTCAGGATGTGCAAAAAATCACATTTTAGTTTACTCGCCTGAAATTGAAAACAACTCAGGAAAAAATCATTCACTTAATTATTAGCAGATCCAGTACAATCTACTGATTAACATTTAGTTATATATCTTGAATTAGCTTTGAAGCATTAGAAAATTATTCAGAATACATGTAGCTTAATTAAGTTATTTTAAGACACCTTTTTTTTGAATCTCAGGAGCAGAAGGCTCAAGACAAGTCAAGGGCTTCAGAGACATATAAAACCATGGTTTTATATGTCTCTGAGGGCTTTTATCAATTTCTGATTACATTTTGCAGGTTGGGAGACAATTGCCCAAATGAGATATAATAAGCGGTCAGCGGTATAATATCCCAAATGGGATATAGATTAAATTTACAGTGCAGGTGTCGATCTCTTGAACAGTGGGCATGCATTATTTGGCATTATTAGCAAGGGTGCGTTGTCTCAAGCCACGGTTCAAAGTCTGCTTGTAGCTTTCTCCTACCCCTAGCTGCTTGATCTCCAAAAAGTGCATGTCGTAATATACTATTATGGACTTTTTAGAATTACGGGAGGCATCGCCAATTATCTGGTCTGAGTAGGGTGTCACCCAAGGGCACTTCTAAACAGTCCATAATCATTTTATTTTCCTGACTGGAGAATCTAAATAATCAATTACATGGAGTAGAAATTAGTAATCAGACGTCTTGTACGCGTTCTCCTACTCTGCTCTGATTCCACTATCAAAATATGTCAACAGACAACTTTGACGTCATCGTTAGAATTTATAGTTTACTGATCCCGCGTATTTAGCAAATGTACATGTGTAATTATAAATCAGAGTTATCTTGCTTAAACCACTGTAATTTCATTCAAAGGACGACAACACAGTTGTAACCCTGCATGTTCGTTTAAGCTATAATTTCATTGTCATCTGAAAGGGCGACAACAGTTGTCACCCTGCACGTGAGGGAGACATCAAGAATTGTCTGACCTCAAGTGACATGCTCTAAACCAGTCAGATTGACTGTATAATTCTGAAGGATAATAATTTTGAATATTTATGTCTGTATGCTGTGACATCATTTTCAGCCAATGACAATGTTTGTTTCCATTGCAGTTGAAACCAACACCTGACATTATACAATTATTGCTGTTTTTTGAGGTCAGTACAATGATTTAGCCATCTGAGGAGTACAATATTCAGTTTTTCACTGAGTCCGAAGGGCTAAAATCTATTGATATAAAAAAAATCATACCTACTTACAGACCCACTCTAAAAATTATAAGTCTGCAACTGCAAACAAAGATATTTGTAAGCTTGGCCTCACACTATTCATAATATTTCATATATTCAATCTTCATTGTAATAGAAGATACTTTTGGAAAATATGAGAGGTATATATACATATACAGTAAATACAGTGTTTTTTGTTTTTTTTTGATAGATGGAGCACATTTTAAGGCCAGGTCGAGAATACTTTGCGGTGTCTGTCGATGCAGTGGCAGGAACAACATATGTCAGTGGAACAGAATCTGGTAGAAAATTCCTTTTAGAAAAACTGTCTCAAATAGCAGGAACAAATGTCTTCGCTGCATTCCTTAAATTCTGCAGAGAAAGACCTCAAGGTATTTACTTACCGTCTTGTGATTAAGTTTAATCTAGGTGGAGTATTATTACATGTAATTAAGGTAGAAAATGCACAGGAAACAAATGTGTAAGGCCAATTTTGTAAGTATTGAACTTCAGGTTAACTTTGGTATATAATTTGTTGAGTTATCTGAGATGTATTATGATATATTTGATTTACAGTTGATAGTACTCACATTCTGGATTTCATACCAAAATAGAAAAGTTTATTAAGAAAGTTTTATGATGTGATTTGTGATATTTTTTTAATTATTTTTTTATTATCTTAAGATTATGTTTGCATTCACTGAAGAATGGCTTTGTATGAAATGAAAATCTAAATATTTGGTTCAATTTGTACATATTTAGTTGAACTGGTTTTAAGGGGAATAAATTAATATAAACATTGATATACGTATATGAACTTAAAAAAAGGGGGTACCATTAAATCTTTAAGATATCAGTAGTTGGATAATGGCATTATTCTGTTAGGAAATATTTCATCCAACCCTTTAATGCATCTCCATCTTAATTAGGACCCTTGCTGTCAGTTTTTTAATTGTTGAATATTTCCTGTGTTCTGGCTTCAATATGCTTCATAGTTCTTATGCCCCATCATGAATGATTCAATATTGCAGGTGCATAAAATGTTTGATATGCCCCTGAATTTTCAGTCCGTCTGTGTGTCTCTCATTCATACTTCAAATTTAGCTCAACTGCAAACAATCTGCTAATAAGTACACATATATACTATAGAAACAATTCTA